ACTGGACCAGGATTCGGATTCTGGTTCTGATTCGCATTCATATTGGTTGCCTGCCGCCCAACCGACCTACTTCATGTTACTATAGGATCGTGGCGCGGCGTGTTTCATTATCTCGGTTGTCCTCTGTTCCCCAGATCGTTTGGTCTAATCACCCTTCGTGTCAATCTGTAACCCTGCCACGTGTCGGCTCCGATACCATCCTCACGCCCAGTGCGACTTCCTGATCAGAGTGGGATGGGGGCCTGGAAGTGCGAAAAGGGGGTGTGCCAAGGATTTTAGAAAAATGGGTGTGGAGTATCTGGTCGGAACTAGGATCTCCGGTGGCAAGTTTAGGGACAACGGTGCAAGATGGTACGCGAAGATCGTGTGTGGGATTATCATCTCTATCAATTGCGTCGCTGTGGTTGATTCCTCATCTGGTGAACTAGTGGGTCGTGGTGGCTGTCGCGTGGTTCGAACAGTTGTCGGCGCCGCTCGGCCGCGGCTCGGGTTTGCCGGGTAATTTTTGAAGCTCGATACACCTGGTGCCGCTCGCACTTTTCGCGGGATGTGCAGGACCAATAGCGGACTATGGAATTCCACGGTACCATTGTGAGCTAGTGATATGGAAGGAGGAGGTGGAAGGGAGAGAAATTGGTACTAATAACGACGAAGCCCGGAGATATGTAATATTGAGTGTTCTTAGTCTTTGGATAGTCTGGTCCCCTAGGATCGTTAGTTATGGCCCAGTGAAAGTCTCCCGCGCACAGTCGGTCGTTCTCCGTCAGACAGGGGAATTCCGGGTTTCTCAAGTTTCTCCGTCGTTTGAGATGTTCACCCTCCCAATATTTGCGATACTCCGGGTCCCTTAGGCTCTCACGATCGGTGATCCAAAAGGGAATTTCTACAGCCATATCCGACTAGTGAACTCGGTTTCCCACATCCCTTATAGTGAGCCAGGGTCGAGGTAGATTATGCAGATGCGCTTGTACGCTGCGATTACGTACGCGAGCATGCACAGGAGCGAAAGTGGGTCGGACTCGGATTTCTCGCGTCAGTGTATCAATTGTGTCCTACATGCATGCAACTATGCTACCCATGTTAGTTCAGGTAAGATCCAGTCATTTCATTCACACCCATGTCATTCAGGTGGCGAAGGAAAAGAGAAGGGGAGCGGGGGGGGG